TTAGGTGGCAAGTAAGCGGGTAGAAGCATCGCCAATACATTCAGTATGAACACCTTTAGCAGATGTCTGCGAAAAATTGAACTCGGGAGGACTTTTAATTTGGAGCTGGTTGCACCGTGCGAAATAGTTTGGGTTGTGGCTTAAGATTAGGTTGAGTATCTGGTAACCAACCACACCGAAGGCAATGCACTTAGGAAGTATTTTTGTTATTTTGTTGGCGTTAGTCGAATCAAAACCAATGACTAGTTTGGCACCAATGTGTTGCGAGTAAAAGCTAAGCCAAGGATGGAGTTTTCAAGCACGCAAATTTGAAAAACAAAGAAAGAAAACATGACCCACTAAACTTGACGAATGTGACTTCACGGTTTTAAATGCGGGCCGGTTCTTGGACACTATTTTGGGATGGTAGGTGAAGCGTTTGCATGAAACTGAACCTAGCCTCCAGCGAATGTTGTCACACCACCAGCACGCGCGGCTATCCCTTGTTTATGTATTTTTACTACATGTAAATGTATTATACCCACATTTTGAATTCCTAACGAATTAATCGGAATCGTTTGTGCGGCTTCAAATCTGCATAATGAAAGGTAGCATAACTATCACGCATTAGTACATGTCCATCAACTTTTATATGTAGTCATGTTTTAATAAATTTGTTCAACAAAGAAACAATAATCTTTTTGCACACATTCTCAAACTTTTGCCATTTTGAGGAATTCGGATTCCATCGCAACACAAAAAGTCTTTACAATAAACGCCATGATTCATAATAAAACAAAAATGGCAGGTTTTCTGAAACCGGCACTTAAACGTATTCCATCGGAAATAAAAAGGGCATGGCTATTAGTAAAAATAAGGGTAGGTTATACAAGTATCTAATTTTGCTCTAAATGCACGATGCAACAAGTTCCACGTGGTTTCGGCATCTTCAGTACATGTCGCGAGTACGTGATGTCGTTGAGGCTCCTGATGAGCAAAAACGTTAGATCTGTGATAAATGAATTAGCTTAGATCCCAAGATCCCTAAAAATATCTCAGATACTACTCAAAGATTGAGCGATCATTAGTATCTACAGAGCACGGTGTCCACGTGAAATGCACGAATATTCTCCCCTGTTTTCCCTTCGACACGCGCTTGGGAGGGGAGTCATATTGCCCCCCCCCCTCCCCCCGGAAGGTTTATCCAGAATGGTTTCCGAATAGGGCGGCGTAGCCGCACCAAATTTTGCATAGCTATAGACAATTACGTATTGAATCGCTTGTTTCAAAAATTTAGATGTACCTTGTAACGTCACTGACCCATGACAGGTCAAAGTCAGGCCATGACTTCAGCGAAGGTAATTTCTAGGGAATCGTCCAATCTGATACAGTAACGCAGTGTTTGACGAAGCCATACATTTCTGAGATGCTTTCTTAGGCACCACAAATATTGAATGAGCAAATTACGTTGACCTAGTGTCGGGTATGAAGGTCATACCAAGGTCAAAACCAGCCTGATTTATTGCTCTAGCGCTCGCTGTATGAATAGCTTGTGGTGCTCATTTCGAATTTGTTTACAGCTGGAGCCGCGTTACAATCTTCCATTGACTTTTTTAGCAGTCAGAACAGGTCAATGACCTAAGATAACCCAGATCGACATTTTGTTTAGGAACATACTGCTTAGCGTAACCTTTGTCACTTATTCAAATGCAAAACTCAGAGCAGTCTTGCATAATTTTGGTCACCATGACCTTCAAATGGTCAAACAAGGTAACTGACCTTAAATGGGTTTGTGACCTTTTGCTTAGAAACAGTTGCCTAAGTTCCAGTGGCATTTGAGAGGCCAACCTGGAACTGGACCTTGTTGATCTTTTTTACCTGAAAGTCATGATCTAGGAAGCTCAAACTTTGACCTAAGTGAGTTCATCTACAGGTTAAGACACCCCGTAAATTCGGTGTTTCTAGCTTTCTTAGTTCCCGAGATCTTAGCGGGGAGCTCAAATCCCCCCCACCCGAGCGAAGGTTATCTAGCCGGCCACCCGGCCCGTGCGAATTGACCTTTAAAGGTTTTTCAGAAAAATCGGAACTCGTCGCTGAATAAATATCTGAATAAATTGCTAACTTCACGGACATCTAGCACTCTGTTGACAAAACATGGGGGCATCGTCCAGAGCTGGCTCGATAACCGGTTTGCTCCGTGCCGAATAGAGACAACGGAGCGGCTAGCAGTGAGACAGGCTAGTGAAGGTGGAGGTTACATTAAGGATCGCATGGGGGCGTATGGGCCACGTCTGTCCCGTCTACCTCGTGTGGCGCCCGATTCACCGTGCGTGATGACTGTGTTATTTAGGGTTTTGTTCGGTCGAACACCACGGCCTGTCGCATGGTTAGTAACCCAACTTCCTTCCAATGGCACACCCGTGTACATGGCACTACGCACGTTTGGTGTAACGCGGCGCATGAGCCTGCCCAAGGGCGTGCCGGGCTGCCCACACAATCGACGGATCCGGTCCACTGCACCTGGGGCGGGCAACGGCAATCAGGGAGTCATGCCAGCCGATCTGTTATTGCATTATGTCCCTGGGGCGTGGTGGGACCACCATAGGGCAAGGAAAACACGTCGGCCTTATGCATGGCTGCAGTACTTCCGTGAATCAATGCTCCCACCGCGTCGGCTCCTGATCTAATCTCTGCGCTGAAGAAGCCAGTACTGATGAGAACATGCGCACTGGCAGTGCTGCAATGGATGCCGCGGCGAACGCAAACAAGTTTCGCCGTGTTCGTGTTACAAAACGGTGTCGTGCAAAAACAAAACCAAACGTAACGCAAATGTACGCTGCAAAACACGGTCCCTGCATAACGCAGATTTCCCCATTAACCGTGTTTGCCGTGTGAATATCTAAAACGCGTTATTTTCAGCACGGTTCCAGGACGTGCTGATATTATATGGACGGTATATATATTATATTAAACATGCAATATATATGTATATATATATATATATATATATATATATATATATATATATATATATATATATATGGATGGTTCCGCGGTGCCGAGGAGTTCTAGTCGGTCCCTTGCACACCGCTGCATGCGTTCTTCGCTGCCGGAAGTGTTCTTTCAGCCCGGTGTTGTCGGATGTCAACATCTTCCACAGACTGTCCGATGATGCAAAAAATGTGTTTCGGAATGAAGTCCTTTTTGCTTTGATTGGCGGCTCCAGACGCACCCTGAGGCTTATCGCACGGCGTCTGGTGCCAGGGGATTTTATCGCACTGCTTTTTCAAAGCCGCCTGAGAATTCCCCTCTTCTGAAAATCACCGTCCTTGAAGACAGGTTTAGCAGCGCCATGTCGTGCAAACACACACTATTGCAATCATATCAAAGCGTTTGTTCAGTGTTTTTCTCGGCTCACCCCTGCTGACCGTGCACACGTACCGCGCACCGCTGGCACCCCTGCGTTCCCTGGCAACGGGGCTTAGGAGCCGTCGATACGTCAGTCAGGATGACGAGGGGAGCCGAAGTGACAGCCGGCTAACGCAGAGCAGTCGTGGCCGGAGCTCGCGGCAGGCTAATCTAGAGCACGTCGCGTATTTGCTACTGCCTTTTTGTCATAACTCTCCTCCCTCACCCACCCACACACCGACGGTCCCTTCAAGTCATCGCGCATGACGTCTTATGCGACACAGCACGCTGAAGTGGGCAAGGCTGCGAGGGTCACGAAAGACCGCCGATCATCTGTCGACATTAGAATCCGGCGGCATAACGGAGATCAGCCGTTTCTTAGCGGCAGCATCAGGTCTGCCATCCAAGACATTTAGGAACAATGACAGAAATAAGCACGCTTCAGCGGTTTTGTTGCGATGTCTTCCCTAGCACATGGTAACTGAAAACAATCAAGTCTTCCTACTTAGCTTTTGAGAAAACCAGTAAGGTAATGGTTTTCATAGTTTGTTTAGGCTGTGGTGTTTGTATAGTCAAGATCACGCACAGCTCAGCGCGCAGTGCAGTCACGCCTCTCTCGGCAAATCTGGCTCCAGCACCGATGTTCTGTCCAGAACCCACCGACCAGCACTGCCGACGCGGGGAGCAGCGTGCTTGCGTGTGCCATGGCACTCATTCCCGAGGCCTGTGAGACTGGCGTTTTTTCCAGTGGTTAGCCTGCGCCCTAGGACGTGCTCTTCTCCCGCCCCCCCCCCCCCCCCTCGGACCTTTTCTGTACGTTCGCTGATTGAAGATATATCCAGCGTGAAAGGAGACCATGGTTCTCGATCAATGTGTATTTACAAATTCGCATCGCCAGCTCATGCTACACGCTCTCAAGTATAGTACGCTCAAAATGCGGATGACATGAAATGAAACGAAAGGAATGGTTGTGAGTGTTTCTGGCTTAAAACGGCGCACGAATGCGCGGAAGCTGGCCGCGTACAACGCACGCGACCAGCGCGAGAGCATGGCAAGAGCTGAAACGGGAGCGACGGCCGCCATCGCACCGCGTTCAATCAAGACCATTCACGCCCCACTGAAGGTGAAGTAGTCCTGCACACAGCCAGCGGCGGCAGACGGCTCGCGGATACCATGACGTCACCATCCGCAGCGCCACCGCAGCGCCGCCAAGCGGACGCCGTCCGCAACTGCAATCCGCCCTGCTAAGAACAGCACAGCCTGAAGATATCCAGCGACAGCGGCCGACGGCGGCCGACTTGCGGCCGCTCGTGAGTCTGGCGCACCGGCGTCGAGACTCATCGACGCCTCCGCAAGGTAGCCTGAACGGTGACGTCACCCGGCCGCACATGACGTCCACGGACGTTCGTTACTCTGGAGGTGACCGGATCATTGTTGAAAGTTGTGGTAGTCCAACTTGAACTGCAAGCACACTAGGACCATCGCTTTCAAGCTAGACCCAAGAACATTTGGGCACACACACTATGTGGTTCACGGCAGTCACTCTGTGGCCGAAAAAAGAAAGCGCTGAGTAAAAGAGTCGTCCGGCTGGCAGTGTCAAGCGACGGCCACCTCGCGCACAAATCCTTGCGCTCCGAGCGGAGGGATCCGCACCAGACCGACCACCGTGCCACCTGGCAGACCCATCACGCCCTACAGACGACGCTCGCAGTATAGATGGCGCTAGTGTCGGGCCGGCCGCCGCGCCGCCGTGCTGTCCGCGAGCTCGCCTCACGCCAGCGCCCAGAGCTCGACGGCGTGGATGAGGAAGTCGCGGCTGGTGGTGAGCGGCTCGTTATTGTAGGTGCGGCACGGCTCTGTGTGGCCGCGGTACAGCTCCTCATCCAAAAACAGGCCAGAGCGGCCCCTGCAAGCACGCGGACGTCAGGGCGCGAACAGCGTCCAGGTAACGCAGCACGATGCTCTTGTTAGCAAGGAAGACAAATTAGAGACACAGTGGGGAGAGCAGGCCCCCCCAATTCTGAGCAGCATCTAGCACTAAACATTAGGCGCCGGATGGAGAAAGACGAGCAAAGTCACGTTTGTCCCTCCGCCCCCCCCCCCCCCCCCATCCCACCTCCATGAAAATTCCAACACCACCGGCTGGTAAACCACCAAAACACTCGGAAGCTTGAGAAATACTCTGAATGATCGAGACGTGGTATGGCACTGAAAAGACATTGCCTATATAACAAGCCAAAGGCAAACAGACCATGCGCAATATTAATATACATCATAACCTGCCATCATCGTCACATGGCAGACTGCAATTAGTTGGTGACCAGAGACCAGAACTGCGGAGCGCTTACTCTCCGGAGCCGAATTCAAGGCCGTAGAGGGAAGCCTCGGTGCGAAGTACGGTTCTCGCCGCTCCACCGGAACTCGCGGAACTCCGGGTGGAACGTGAACAGGAACGATTCGCCAGTGCCGTAGTAGTGGGGATCCATCCGGATAGGATCCGAAATTACAGCCCCGAACACCTGGCGAGGCAAGACATGACAGTCGTCAAATAAATACACGAGTCGTGAAATTAATACATGACAGTCGTGAAATAAACTGCGTAAAGAGTCGTGAAATCAATACACGAATACGATACAACTTTGCCATGCTGGAAACAGCGTACGTAAAACAACGTACAACGTACGCCAACATGCTACGCATGTCCTGCGCAAATCGCCAATGAACAAGGCCAACGATTCGGTGATGTTACGGCGGGTGCCGCAGAGCGACTGTGCGCCGGCACTGAGACAACTATGCGCCGCCCCATATTCCTGATGCCACGCGTTTCGGGACGCACGCAACAGCGACGTCACAATTTGGGACAAATGGCTGAAGAACAGCGACAGAAAAGCTACCACCTCAAACCTCATTGCAACCGGTTGCTCATCAGAACGCGCAGAACATTGCTCGGAGCACACAGCCTCAGCTGCGATTCAATACCAACTTCACCTCAGTTGCACCACGTGGTCACGGCCGGCCGACCTCTGCGACCCCCCGCGGCCCCCTCCCCCCCCCTCCCCCCACGCGGACGGGTGCGCGCTGACTCACGTGCTGCTCGGCATCCTGGACGAAACAGCACCATGGGGCACTCATGCTCGGCAGCCCGGCGGTACAGCGACTTCAGGCTGAACCCGTGCTCACTGGTGCTGAAGAGCAGATTCCACGGATGCCCTGTGGCCAGTGGTGAACAGCTCTGTTAATGCTGCTTTCCTTACACTGTTCAGAACAGGTCACTTGCAGCGGAACGTAGTTCGGATAGAACTGAAGCACAGTTATGCCCAACGCATGTAGGATAAAGGATGCTGTTTTACGAGTAGGTCCAAAGCACGTTGTTCGGTTCCAAACAGACAACTTGGGCAGATGATTACAATCAATACGTTAAAATACCTTCAGAAGTGCAACTGGCAAATGACCACGAACACCAAACTCTGCAACTTTGGTGCGTAATGCACGTGCCTGCGACAAACAGTAATGCTTAAACGGTCCTTCCCTAAACCACATCAGTGTCGATGCCTCCTGCTCCCCACAAACGCCGCTGCCACATTCGCTCCCTCATCCTTCTGCGCCTCGCGGAGAGCCGGCCCCAACCAGCCGCTCGCCGGAGACGGACCGGTCCTCACCCTCGACGCGCGCTGGCAGCAGCTTGTACACGCAGGACGCCATCTCATCGGTGACGATCTCAGTCCTGCCCACCAGGTCAGGGACGAGGGCCATGCCCAAACCCGGCGACTCGAGGCCGCGCGCGGCCGGATTCTCGCCCGAGGCGTCAGCCGGCTGCGGGCACAAGGAGTAGCCATCATTGACACCGGTCACGCTCACAGCCGCTCTTACGTATGCGGCCACCATCGGTATGCGCGCGATACCTTCCGCAGATAGGGACGCGTTTCGGACGGGCCCATCTGCTGGGAGGGAGGGGGGGGGGGGGGTAGGTCGCAGCACAATGGTTATGAGTGTCGCGTCGGGTCTGGGACGCTTCCGCCGCGTGGCCATCGCAAAGGCTACCAAGTCAATGGGGCCACAGCGAAGACGGCAGGAGCTCTCAAAACACAGGAGATTACGGTGAGCGGCCACTCTACCGAGAGTACTGCGACGCTGGGGTTATTCAACATTGCACACGGCTATCTTGCGCAGTAATATTTTATGCTGCACCAACTAGCGTATGCTGACCTGAATATCGCAGCATAAGTATCGCAAATGTTACAAGATCGTCAGGATTTACGATGGTGACAGTCAAAATCACCAGACATGCCACGGTAGGATAAGATCAGCCTTCAGCAGTCAGTTTCACGCTCTAGGTATGCCATTGTTTCGTCGTGAAAGTTTCTGACGGCCGTTTTCGGGAGCTTTTGAAATGAAGCCTCGGCAGGACTTACATTACAGATGCACGATAAACGTGATAAATCCTGGCTTTGGTAAGGCAAGAAGTCCGTTCTTTTCACGGGTGTCGATTTGTATTCTTTTGTGAGGGCCCTGCCCCCCCCCGCCCCAATGCTGAGTTGGGCCCCCAATGTTGGCTTGCCCCCCAATGTTTTTGGTTAGAATACTACAAAAAAGGTGGGTAAAAGGTGATCATAACACAAAGTATCTTCTTTGCTCTTTCTGCGTAGTGGCGTCCCGTACCACTCTCATAACAAATAGCCATGGTTGCTCTCACCACAAGATACAAATCGTAACAGCTGAGCGGATAAACGATGCAATAAATTTCACATACCTAGCGCCATAAGACAAGCGATAGTTTGAGGTTAAAGTGAAACCTCTAAAATATGGGGGTGACTAAGTCCTTCTTGGCTAACCCCGTCCCCGTCCCCCACAACCAAAATGCATGCTGCCTCCCCTGACCGCCACAGAAGAGCGCTATCGATGCCCTAATGTGGCCTCTAAGCACGTGAAGGCGCCCCGCCTTCACGTGCTGATCAGGAGAGACGCATGCGTCCAGTGCCTGCTCCCGGATCCAACCCTGCATGACTTCAATACTTATGCTTAAATTAAGGACTTTTATAAATAATACAATGATTGCGACGTACGCTGCGTTTAATCAAAGTAAAGTTGCTAAATCCGGTGAGAAAAATGGGGGAAAGTTGTCGGGCCTTCGGTTTGGCCTCCCAATAATTTAAAACCATTGACACTCCTGTTTCTTTTAATTGGACGTGTCTTGCGTCGTCTTGCATCTATCATGCATCGGTGATCACCGCACCTCATGAAATATTACATCAAAGTATGTTCTATATTTTGCACCTTAACCCCTCTCCCTCACACAACACACACACATAATGACGGAGCTGCAGTCAGCTGCTTCAGCGGACACCCGAGGAGTGCCTCCAACCGAGGGAGAGAAAAAGGCGGCTGGTCGCATGTCCCTTGGAGCCATGCTTGTTACAGAGACCACAGCCTCGCGTCAAACGGAGACATTTAGCTTTTAAACACTCACTGAAGCGCGACATTCATGACGAGTGGACACCACCAGAAGGACGCCATTGCAAGAAGAAGTATAGCT